CCAACAACTCATGATTTTAAAAAAATACTTCCAATGCAGAAGTAAGTGAGAGCTTTTAATAATGTAAAAGTCCATGAAACAGGAAATAAATCAATCAAATGACTTTCTAGCAAAAATTAAATATCCTGACAAGAGGTTTTGGTCAGAAATAGAGACAAAAGGCTACAACCGAAAATTTAAGTTGAAGTCAGGAACAACACTGAGTTTTATCAAACAATTACAAATGGCTTAACAGAGTTGAAATCTAGCCAAACAAAATTAAACTACAAGGACCAATAATGACAGACCTCCAATTGAAAGCACAGATTACCATGATTATTTGCTACAAAGATAACACCATTGCTGGAACTATATACGTTACAGTACCTACAAATGTCTTTGCTCAGCAGAGAAAGATGTTCAAAATTCAGTCTTTTATTGGAACTCCACGAAGTCATACAAGACCACAGTGACGTAGTGTTTAGGAACAAATTCCCGAAAGTTTGCAAAGGGCTAGGAAAGCTGATCAATGCATATTCACACCATGTTGTTCCCAAATACCAAATGTATTAGCTTTTTAACTCTTAGAAGTGTACTACATCCTTTAACAGACAGGACAGAACTTAATAATATATTAAACCCAGGAGTAATTCCACTGTTAAAGGACTGACAAAATGATGCTTAGGACCAGTGACAGTTCCTAAACCACTTGATGAGATCAGATTTTGCATGGAACAAAGCTCGACAGTGCATTGCAAAACAAGACCTATCCAATTGTTTCCATTACTAACCGTCTGCTGAAATCATCAGTGTGTTTTTGTTTCAAAAATATCAATGTTAGGACTGTTTCTGGCAGACTTGACCAAGCATCAAAATCATTGAATTCATTCGTCACGTCCTTTGGTCAATATTTCTTTAATTGACACCCACGTGGTATTTCCTCAGCTTCAGATAGTTTCAAATGCACTAGGTTCATTATCTGCAAAGGCAGAGTAATGATTTGCCACAAGGATAATGTGCTCATCTATGGTGCTACTAAAGGAAGAACACAATCAATTGTGCATTACATTCTAAAGGTGCCAACACATGCCAGGGTACTTTGAATGAGAAATGAGAATTTAGCAAAAACACTGCAATATATTGAAGCACATTATTCAGCAACAAGGTTTAACAATTCACACCTTTACAACAACTCAAGAACTGACACAACCCAAAAATGTTGATATGGTAAATGAAGTAGGAACGTACCTGCTAAATTTATCAATGATCATTGAGTCCAAAAGTTAAAAGCAGACAACATTGGTATTGGGGCATAAACTAAGAAAAGGTATTCCATAAGATCAATAGGTGCTTATTTCCACTGATGTACTCACACACTATGATCCAAAATGTCAATTATTGTGGCAGGAGATGCATCTTAAAAGATCTAGGAGTTTCCTAAATGAGCGTCGAAACTGGAGCTGTAGAGGTTGGAAACATGAACTAGAATCGAATGGATGTCGGAACTCATGAAAATGAGGAGAGGAAGAAAAACATTGGATTTAGAATTTCTACAGTGCAGAGGTCATTTGGCCCATTGAGTTTGCACAACCCTTCAAAGAGCATCCCAGCCAGACCCCACCTTATCCCCGTATTTAACAAGTTAACCCACCTAGCCTGCACATCCTTGTATATTATAGGGTAGTTTAGCATGGCCAATCCACCTAAACTGCACATCATTGGACTATGGGAGAAAATCAGAGCACCCAGAGGAAACCCATGCAGACATGGGGAACAACATGCAAACTCCACATAGACAGTCACCCAAGGCTGGAACCAACCCAAGGCACTGTGAGGCAGCAGTGCTAACTATCGTGCCACCCATGATTTTAAGTTCTGAATGGGGATTTGACACTGCGTGATTGGCTGGGAAAATTTAAAGGGCTCTGAAATGATGGGGTGAATAGTGGTATATGTTTAGATGTTTTCATTGTGAGTCTAAAAAGTGTGAGGAGAGCAGCAGATTGTTTGGAGAGCTTCTGGAGGTAAATTGTTTTATAATACTAAAGTGTTGTTAAGATGGTCTGTAACTACTGAATGTAAGAAAATATAGAAATATCAATTATCTTAAACTTTTTAGTGAAATTGGCATATTTATTCCTTTGAAGGTCTTCACGATCATTTTCTTGATCTATAGTGCTGCCTGGTCCATTTAAAAAATTAAACAATTTAAGAATGTTTTTGATACAACGCTGAGTTGAGAAGTTTTTTTTTAATCTGATGTGTCAGTGATAATTCAGTGTCTTTTAAAAGGTAAGTCTGATTTAAGTGATAATTCAGTGTCTAAGAAGGTATAATTTATCATCATTTAAAAAAGTAAATAGGTGTTTCTTTCTTATGAATTTTACAAGGCTTTCGTAAAACTTTTGGTGTATTTCAGTGCCGAGCGTCTGTAACGCAACATTTATCCTTTTAATGATTATTTAGGAAGATCTGGGCCATATTGCATTGGTAGAAAAAGTTTTGAACAGTTTGGTTTTGTCACACTTGCACTGTTCACTTTGAAGATGAGTCTTCATATTTACTGTGAATCTTCTCCCTTGTCTGCCTAGCCACTGACCTTGTGCATGTGCTCACAGATATCTATCACAGCTGGTTCTTGCTGCCAGTATATTGCAGGTGCTTTTGAATTGGTGTGTTTTATGATAGCCTTTCAGCACATCTCCGGAATTAAATTTCCTACATAATTGAGCCCAGTGTTCTATCACATGACATGCAAAGATTTTAGGAATGCAAGATACTTTCATGGTGGTCGTCACAGACAGCTCCCATGGAGCCAGGTTGCATTCTCAATATCCAGTCAATACTGGCAATTGTGCCTTTTGCTTGCAGGTTCCAGCTGCTTCATATTTTCTGCCATCTTTTTAACTGGTATGCCAACATTGTAACCTTTTATTTTTCTCCACTCTATGACTCTACATAACCGGCTCCATTATCCATCTCAGACATTGCAGCTTCCAAGAAATTACAGTGCTTACTGACAAACTGCTTGGTGTGCTTTTTCCTCTTGCATTGGCATAGCAGTGGAGAATGTGTCAATGACCCTTCAACTTCAACAGCCTGATTCAAAACCAACATGCTGTTCCCATGAACCATCAAGCTAGCTGTTCCAATAAACATGTGCAGCCTTTATACTGCACAAACTCATGTCTGTAGCTCTTCCTGTGGTCCTCAAACTTGCCATCCTGTTATTGTTCTATTTTTAAATAACACAAGTTTATCAATCTCACACCAAGACTTGTGAACCAAACATGGGTTCAGTTTATTTGAATAGATATTGTAAGACTTGTGCTCCAGAACTTGCCACTCCCCTAGCCAAGCTGTTCCAGTACAGTTACAACACTGGTATCTACCCGAGAATGTGAAAAATTGCTCAGGTATGTCCTGTACACAAAAAGCAGAACAAATCCAACCCAGCCAATTAGTGCCCCATCAGTCTACTCTCGTTCATTAGTAAAGTGATGGAAGGTGTCAGCAGCGCTGCTATCAAGCAGCACCTGCTCAGCAATAACCTGCTCAGTGATGCCCAGTTTGGGTTCCACCAGCGCCACTCAGCTCCTGACCTCATTACAGCCTTGGTTCAAACATGGACAGAAGGGCTGAATTCCAGAGGTGAGGTGACAGTGACAGCCCTTGACGCTCAATGATGTAAATAATGTAATGGCACATAGGACAGTGTAGCATAATGGGAAAATATAATTTATGAGCAATTGCGAAAATTATTCAAAGATAAATTCCTGCATGTATTCCACCTCACATCTTTGATGTGTGGATTGGATTGGAGCGGATAAAGCACCTGTTTGCCTTAGCAGTTTGGACAGATATGTCAGTCAAGCAACCATTCAGTAAAAGTTTGGAGTGTGCCTTTCTCTCATTAACAATGAAATTGCTGTAGGATTCAGTTAAGAACCAGCATCATTTGTTTGAGATTAAATACAGCTATTTTTGATCTCTGGGGTGTAGATTTACCCTTTATTATTACAGGTAATAAAGTAATAAAGTGTTATTACTTTATTTCAGGTACCAAGGCAGAAATGCAGTCACGATAGTTTTGTCAAGCAGCTCAAAAATGGAAATAAACAGACAGGAAATCAGGAAATAAATCATACTGATTATTATTCACTTTTGATTCAATTTTAAAAAGCAAAATATTTAGAACAAACCTGCGTGATGAAGATGAAAGTTAGAAGAGTGTCTATAAATTTTGCTGCTCCTTAATTTTCACATTCATCACAACAAAGCCTCATGTTTAGTTTTCACAATGTGGTATGGAAGCTTCCCTAGCAGGGTGATGTCATGCATCCATAAGGAACTATGAGGTATGTAGCCACAATTTTTCAACTACACTTGGGGAGAAGAATTCTGCCATTAAACCGTCACCCCATTGAAATGGCATCCTTGAATGTTACTGATCCTGTCCTTATACGCACTGACTTCTGTGTGAAAACCTGATAGCTGCAAAGCATTATGGATATTTTGTTAATCAACTTGTTCAGAGATATTATAAGGTGGGATTTGAGAAAAGGCCTTCTGGCTCAGACACAGGGACGCTACCACTGCACCACATCTGGTGTTAGCCTTAGAATATGTTTGTGAAATAGAACATAGAACATAGAACAGTGCAGCACAGTAATCATGCCTCCATTGTCTCAGTAATACCACTCATCTCTGCCTTGAATTTGTTCTTTGGCCTTGCCCACCTGGAAGGGAAAGCGAAATAGAAAGCAAAAGTGCCACGTTCTAAGTGCTTGTTTCTGATTACATTTTCTGAGCTGACCTGATAAGGAGTCAGTTATTGTGCACAATGTAATAGTCCCTTTTGCTTGAGGTCATTACTCTTAATATGCATTCTCACCCAAATGCAAAAAAAAACATTTTTTTAAAAATCCATAAAAACTTGGAAATGAATGCACTGGTTGTACTTGACCTCCATGTCCTCATATACAAGACAGGTTTTTGGTCTTTCTGTTTTTCCCTTCCAGGTGGGCAAGGCCAAAGAACAAATTAAAGGCAGAGATGAGTGGTATTACTGAGTCACTGGAGGCATGATTACTGTAATTGCCCCTAACAAGGCCTCAAATTCAAAAGGTTTTACTCTTACCTGTGGAAAGAAATGGTAACTTATTCCACCTGCTTTCCATACTGTGTCCATCATTTTGTGCAGTTGATTTCCAATCCGTCATGGCAAGGTTCCAACTTTGGTTCAGTGAGAGTGACTTGTAGGGTCATTTTTCGCATTCCCTTTTGTTTTGCTCATATTGTGCCCCCTGCTTTCAGCCTCTCCCTTTTCCCACTGAATCCCTTTCCTTTTTAACATCCCCAAATTCCCTCCAGAGTTCATGACGTTCGAAACTCCCATGATCTTTTTGGTCCTACACCTCCGTCATGTAGAAATCAGAATTACTGTGACACCCCAGTCCCTTCCTATTCTCTATGAAGTCCCACCTTACTCTCTCCAATTGCTACCATTCCCTCACTGACCCAGTACAGTGAACACCATCCTTACAGTTGAGCTGCCCTCTTTCCTTTGGGCTCCATGGACAGCCCCCTGATAAGTTTAAATATCCCTTGGCTGACCATATGTTCCTCTTGAGTCTACTAAGGACTATTCCCCTTTGACTTTCAGATATGGCCATTTGTTTAAGCACATGCTGAGTGTTGTATAAATTGCAGTTAAATGCTGCAGGTCTGACATTAATGAAGCATGGTTCCGCTAAGTGAGATGTTCACCCCCTTGACTATTCAATGCTCCCCACAATGACAGACTGCCTGCCTCTTCCTCTATACTAAAAAGAAATGCAAGCCACAGAAGCTGGCAGTGTGTAACTGAGCATAGTGCACTAAGAAGGTAAAATGACCAATACAGAGGCTGGTAACTTATAAAATATGGTTGAGGTCAGCGACTGTGTGCTAAGATAGCTATATGAAGTATACAGAGGCCAGCAACCTCCAGGTGAGTGTAAAGTGAGTAAAAGCAAATTAAGTATCTTAAGATTAGTGGAAGGTAAGTTGGAGAGATGAAGAAATGTAGACAGGCCACTCAGAGTTTGGAGCCTAGGAAACTAAAGGCATGGTCACCAATGATTGAGCAATTTAAATCGAGATGCACCAGTGACCAGAATTAGAGGAGTACAGATATCTCAAAGGGTTGTGGTTCGAGAAGAGATTACAGATATAGAGAGGGGTTAGGCCATGAAAACAAGCATGAGAATTTTAAAATCAAATCCCTGCTTAACCAGAAGCTAATGGGAGCACAGGGATGATAGGACTATGGGTCTTAGTGTGAGTTAAGGTGTAGGCAGCCGAATTTTACTGAGCTGCCTTTGCCTGGGTTCGTTTTCTAAGGCATGCTGTGTCACTGTTGAAGTAACATACAGTGTCCCCTGCCAAGTTAATTGAAACGGCTCCCAAGAGCACTAGCAAATCCTCCAGCAAGGATGTTGGTCCCATTCTGGTTCGTAAGCAGGCCATCCCACTTGTACAGTTCCCAACTCTCACAAAAACAGTCTCAATGATCTAGAAATCTAAAACCTTCCATCCTGCACCAACTCTGAGCCATGCATTTATCTGTGCTATTCTCTGATTCCTGTACTTGTTAACTCGTGGCACTAGGAATCATCCGGAGATTACAACCTTTGGGATCTAGTTCTTTCTTATTTTAATGTACTGCCACCATCTGAATTCTTGAGCTAAGACCTCATCCCTCATTCTACATATATTGTTGGTACCAATATGTATTATGACCTGTCTTGTCACTCTCCCCTGCAATCACTCAGTTACATCCTAGACCCAGGCATCAGTGAGGCAGCACATCATTCTGGAATCTAGTCTGCAACCACATAAAAGCCTGTCTGCTGCCCTAATTAAAGAATTCCCTATTACTGTTGCTCCTGCTTGCTTCTTCCTCCCCTCCTGTATTGTCAGACAGCTTGTGGTGCCAGGAGCCTGACTGAGGAACCAGCATCCTCACCAGAAGCTTGGTTATGACTGCAATCCCCAGAGGAGCCAACATCATCATCAGCTTCCAAAATGGAAATCCAATTGGTGAGCAGGATCCAAGATAACTTCTGCACAATCTGCCTGTTTCTCTTTGACTACTTAGTGGTGATCTTTCCTCCAGTCCCCTGATCTGTAGAGTTTCCACCTCTCTCAGTGTGCTATCCACATAATTCCCAGCCTTGTGGATGTACCACATGTTCTTCAGCCACTGCTCAAGTTCTAAAACAAGGAAGCTCAAGTTTCTGTATTTGGGAGCACTTCCTACACATGTGGCCATTTAGGATGCTGTTAGGATCCATGACTTCCACATATGACAGGTCACACATACCGTTCAGCTGCCTTCACCTGCCATGGTTTAAATATCAGAAATCATACAACACCAGGTTATAGTCCAACAGATTTATTTGAAAACACAAGCTTTCAGAGCCTCAGTCCACATCATGGTTTAAATGAAAACTTACTTTTTCTGACTGGCTATCTTTTCTGATTATTTAATCTAAAAGATAATCCCCTGACCTTCAGTCTCTATTTCTTATTCTCTGACTGTTATTTATCCTAGGTGTTTTACTGTTTATCTTCAGTTAACCCCCTGAGTAATTTTACACTTCTTTCAAAATAATTGCTACAGTGCTATAATGATGATTATTTACAGTACTACATGAAAGAGAAATTTGGATTAATAACACACAACTTATATAAGCAACAAACGTGAGTTGCAACACTGTGAACAAAGGCGCAACTACATCAATGAATAACATAAACTACAAAATAAATAAAAGGTAAAATGTAACATAACACGGTATGTAGTCTAATATCCATTAAAAATATACACAATTCAATTAAGAGACAGAAAATATATTTTGTGATATAAAATGGGAGTGATGTGGAGAGAGAGCGGACCCCTAATTCCCTTTGTGACTTCCCCATTCCTGTTCATGACCTCTTGTGTGCCAGATCCATGCCCTGCAAATAGTCCTGCTCTGGGCTGCTACTATTCAGAAGGTGCAGGCTGTTCAGTTCTCACCTGTCAAAGGACCTCACTGCTTCATTCAGCTGTTGAACATTCCCGGATATTGGCTTTGAAATTTATATTGCTCACTAACATCTGTCCTAATATCAATGATACCTTGTAAAGTTGGCAAGAAATCACTCAAGAATTTGTGTCTGTGTTTGATATATACACTCAAGAAACACCTACTTCAATACCATTAGCATGTGCCTCATGGTGCCAGTGTGGTCAGAAGGATGGGAACTGCTGCTGCCAAACCACAGGTTCCTCAATTCCCAAAGGCTCAAAGCACCCTACGTCCATCACAGCAGAAGCATCATAGGTCTCTCCTTGCTCAAGCACTGTTAAATTTAAATTTATCAATGAATAGCCACCATCACCACCACCTTGAGAAATAGATTTGTCACCCTCAAGACATTGTCTTCCCTCTTCCACTGAACCTACTGCATCATGATATAATTATCTCCATCCCATCCTCATGACTTTCACATTTCTCAGACATTGGAGCGAAGTGAGCTATGTTGGCATCTGATGTGCCTATGGCATATGTCAGGGAAAAAAAATGTACAACTATTCTTTATCACAAATTAGCTGTCCTCCTGACCATGTACACATCATTCAGCTTTTCACATCACCTTTGCTCAACCCCACATTTGATACTCCAATGGTTATTGCAGAATTGAAAAGGCCAAGTCAGTTGCCTTGTGAACTCCTTTTGTCCTGTCAGTTTTTGATATTCGGCACCGTCTCCTCTGGTCAACTGGCATTCCCGGTTATTGTGGGGCAGCTTTGCATAAAGGAAGATGTGAAAAGTTAAATGTAAATCTTTCCAAATTTACAACTTCTGTGAACTGCAAAATGCCAATACTCATGGGGCACTTTCTGTTGAGAGATAAGCCAGAGCCATTTTCATGGCAACTCCATTTGATGACACTCAATAAAATCCATTACAATATGGACCTTTTGCACCTCCAAATCAAAGACAATAGGTTAGATTGAAACAAATTCACCTTCACAGCAATTACATTTTATAATATCTCATAAAATTAGTAAGCAGAGACAAAAGCCTGTGATCTTTCTAATTTTATAACTCCACCATAGGATTTAAAGTTTCACAATGTATGTAGTAAATATATGTATGTACATATACATGTGTAAGAAGACAGCAACAGTTCAAGAACACAACTCACCACCACCTTCTCAAAGACAATAAGGGATGGACAATAAATGCTAGCCTGGCCAGCAATGCCCATATCTCATGACTGAATAAAAGAGAACCCAGGCAGCACAGATCAGATCATACGGCTTCTTCTGGCATTGATCCAAATAATTACTATTTGAACTCACTGTAGCAGGCACCTTCTTCCCAGCAGTGCTCAGCACCTTTTGTCAGCATTGTACCCTTGCACTTTCCTGGATTCCATTCCACTTTGATTCCACCTCAACAAGAAGAATGTCTGCATATTTACCACTGAAGTTTTGAGATCCCTTTTCGACCACAAACTCCTGCATTGTTATCCTCTGCATGAGAAAATAAGAGTAGTTTTCAGTAACCTACACTTAAAATGTAAACATATCACATTATTAAATAATTCTATGATCTCAGCTGATGATAAGGGTCAGATCCCAGAGTGAGACTGGTTTGACAGACTTAACGGTTTTGTTTTTCTTTGGGTTCACACGAGGATTAATGAATGAACATATTCATAAGAGACAAATGAATATAAAAAAGCTTCCTACAGAAAAGAAACACAAACTCAACAGG